TAGACATGATGATGAGATGATGTCGTCTTACTCGACGACGACATCTTCACCATCATCATTCCACCATTGAAACAATCTTCTTTATAGTTTTCTTCTTCTTTGATTGTGTCTAGCTTCTGCTTCGCTGCTCTATGCCTCCTCATGACCGTCACGAATTGAGGTGGAGCAACCTCTGATACAAACCTAGCTAGACGCGAAGTAGCCATTATGGTTTTTTCAATAGTGAACAAGAAAAGTATGAGAGGAACGATTGAGATATGTATGCTTGGTTTAATTTGATGGAATGCTTGAGATATGAACCTCATATATATATGGAGATGCCTTTGGTTAATTACCTACGTCGAAGGGCATTTGTTTTTGACGTTTTGTACCGTCAATAGCTTTTGCAATTTAATGCATATGAGACACGTGTATTTTACGTCTTAATTGTTTTGTCGCCAGCAATTTTAATTACTTTTCAAATTTGAAAACGTTTAAGTAATGATTTTAGAAAGAAAAACAAATTAAAACAAAAATTATTAACAAAATAGTTTGGAAGAAAAACTAAACTTTGAAACAAAAACAATGTTTTAAGGTGAAAAAAACATAGCAAGTAGTAGGAAGTCTTACTAAAAAAAATAGTAGAAAGTGAAGATAATCATAGGTGTAACTGTGACCATTTTTTGTGTGGATATTCTCGATAAAGCAACCCACCAAAGTCCAATATGGCAAGCTACCGAAGAGAATTGGTGCGATTCCAAATTGATTTATGATCAATAGCGTGAGCGATGGAGAGAGATAGAGACTGTTTTGATGATGTTTTGTTCCATTTTGTTCAATTTACTTGTGATACATCTTAGTTTGACACAACAATTGGATGAAATTATAGTCAATATATAGCATGAAGCCTATAATTTTTGAGCCATAAAAACGTATCGTTTCAGTTTAGAATAATACAAAAACAACAAAAGTACTTCCAAATTATAAATCTATCCGGACAAACGAATGAAAGATGATACTATTAATAATCTCATTTTTGTTTTATAAAAATATATGCTTCTCTAATTGATACCTCTTTAACAAATTGTTGATTAGTATCGAGAATTTAGGTGTAATTTAAAGTGCTTATTTACGAATTACACTCCACAAAATAGTTACAAGTTGAGAG